TTCCTCTGTCACGTAGACCCCTTTCCTGTGTCATGTAGACCCCTTTCCTGTGTCATGTAGACCCCTTTCCGGTGTCATGTAGGCCTCGTACACAATCTCCCAAACAGAGACGACATTCATTACTCATTTACCTCCCCACAGGGGGTATTGATACCAATACCCTATTTGTTTTAGTTAGGGGAGGCAAACAGGACAACTAATCTTAAAGGTAATCATTCCTTTTTCTCATTCCACATGGTAAAGGAACTTTTAATACCCAAAAGAATCTGTCTAGTTGACAAATTCTCTTTTACTACGGCTACTAAATGAGCTGTTTCTAAGTTGAGGAATTCCTATATTTTGCCCCACAATAACCACCAATCGGCAAACAAAGGCTTCCTCTTGGCCTTGCATAACCTGTTGGCAGTTCCCATCTCTTCTCCAAGATTTCAGCCTGGGAGGATAAGTACCGGTTGGCTTTCTGCCTGGATAGTCTGCAGGGTGCTGGCCTTTACTGCACTTTGATCCTTTGTCCAGTACACACAGGCGGGTCCAGCTGTGCGTTCCAGCTGAAGTTGGGCGTGCCCTGGGGTGGAATCCCGGCCAAGAATTGCACACCGATAAGAGATAAAGGGCAAAGCTCTGGATTCCTTCCCTCTCTCAGCTCTAAAGCAGGCTGAGAAGAAGAGCAGGCTTGTCCACAAAGGCTTTAGTGCAGAGAGTGAGCCGGTGGGGAAAACCCGTGCCATCGAACATTTAATTCAGCCGAAACCTACGAGAGTAAACATGATGTCGTTGGGGAGAGCCTCTCCGCTGGTATCACTGATGGTCGTGCTCTTGGCTGGGGTGAGTGATGAGGACTTTCAATCCTCAAGGGCTCTGGACCAGCTCGTTAGCTTGCAAAAGAATTTTGGGATTAGCCGATTGAGGGCAGGGGAGCCAGATCTGAGCTCTGGATGTGAATGCTTACGTTTGCCAAGGTTTTGCCAAGTCGGTTGGTGATTCGGTAATATGCCATGACTTTTACGGATACTGTAGTTTTAGTAGGCAGGTAAGTGGGATGCGGTGGCTCAGAGGCTGAGCTTGTCGATCAGAAAGGTCGGCAGTTCGGCGGTTTGAATCCCTAGCGCCCAAGTGCATCTGCAAAGCTAGTAGGGCTTCCAACAATGGTTGGAAACTAATCAAAGAGAGAAGCAACCGGGAATTAAGGAGAAACCTCGTAACAGTGAGGACAATTAACCAGTGGAACAGCTTGCCACTGGAAATCATGAGTGTTCCATCACTGGATATTTTTAAGAGTCTAGGCAGTCACTTATCTGAAATACCGTGTTTCGCCGAAAATAAGACAAGGTCTTATTTTCTTTTGCTCCCCAAAATAAGCGCTTGGCCTTATTTTCAGGGAGGTCTTATTATTTTTGAGGTGCAGGAGGTGACAAGCGTGGTCACCTCAGGGCTGCTGCTGGGTTGCAATATTTTCCAGGAGGGCTTATTATCCGGGGGAGGTCTTATTTTGGGGAAAACAGGGTCGTATAAGTTCTCCTGCTTGAGCAGGGGACTGGGCTAGAAGACCTCCAAGGTCCCTTCCAGCTCACTTCTTCTAATTCTAGGTGAGAAATTTACCTCTCATTTTCTACACCTTTGACTGGTGCAAAACCAACTCTCGAAGAACGAGATTGGAAGGAATGCCTATGTTGAAACCAACTCGTTAAGTGTTTAAAAAGTGTTTATTATTCATATCACAACCCAACTGGTTTGGTTAGTCCGCTGCCTCCCTGCCAGCCAGAGAAGTTTGCTGAAGTCCCAGAGAACCATTACGAGCTGGAAATTGTGCATGCATTCAAGGACCGTGACAGAGTTGCACTGGAGGCCTTGTTTTTCTTGTGCATTTCCTTCAGTCACCAACGCAACACAACAAAAATAAGACTCTTGAGTCACGTGTGTTCAATAGAGTCGGTTTTGGTCATGCAGAATTGAGCTTTAGCGGGAAGTCAGTTCTGGGTTTCCTGCAGCAGAAATAGCAGAAGCAGCTTATTTTTATAATAATTATAATTTTAGCAGGGCAGAGGCAAAAACGAGGGAGGGCTGAGTTTCGCTGCTTATCTCTAGCTTGCACAAAGTCCTGTGCGTACCCAGTGGCTGGAATCTCCAGACAGGACTGGCCAAAAGCCAGCCTGAAGTTTTGGAAGGCTGACTCTGTCAACGGATCAGGAAAAAAAAAAAAGAGGCCACTGGGGGATTTGGATTGGAAGCACTGAACCGGATGGCACTCGCTGAGCTTGTTCAGTCGCCGTGATTTTGTTCCCTTGCTAAATAAATGCAACCTAATGGGGACGCGGTGGCTCAGTGGCTAAGACGCTGAGCCTGTCGATCAGAAAGGTTGGCAGTTCAGCGGTTCGAATCCCTCGTGCCGCATCACGGAGGGAGCTCCCGTGACTCATCCCAGCTTCTGCCAACTTAGCAGTTTGAAAGCACGTAAAAAATGCAAGTAGAAAAATAGGAACCACCTTTGGTGGGAAGGAAACAGCGTTCCGTGTGCCTTCAGCATTGAGTCATGCTGGCCACATGACCACGGAGAGGTCTTCGGACAGCGCTGGCTCTTCGGCTTTGAAACAGAGATGAGCACCGCCCCCTAGAGTTGTGAATGACTAGCATGTATGTGCAAATAGAAACCTTTACCTTTAAGCAGGGTAGAAAAATCACTAGAACCATGCATTGTTATAAATTTATTCCCCCCCCCCAAAAAAAAATGCTTCAGAAGTCAGAGGAGGTCAAATTCAATTTTGAATTGGTTGTCGGGACCAACGGCCTGTTCTCCCATGCTTTGAAACTCATGAGGGAGGCCATTCTCAGTCCACTTCTTAATGTCCCTGATGTGTGCCCGGGGCTGTTCTATGTATAATATTTATGTGGCACCTGGTTGTGTGTGGCATTTAGTTGTTGACTGGTGTATGGCTGAGTGGCTATTAAGTCATTGGTTGCCGTTTCCTTGCATTGTTGTGCCCATAGCTCCTAAGTGCCCAGTAAGCTGGTGGTAAATCAGCACTCCTGTTGATGGTCAAAAGTGCCATTTTCCAGGTTTCAATAGTTTCTCTGGCTGTTTTTGTCCCTACTTAGCTGACAATTTAGTTAGCTGCAAACATGAATGCATCTTGGAGATTGAGAAGTTCCCTGGGGATTGACTACAGCAGAGTCTGAAAGCTTGGAAGAACAAACCTCCTTACCGGTGACTGATTCAGATTGGATCCTGCAATATTACTCTCTCACTCTCACTCTCACTCTCACTCTCAGCTGAATAAAATTCTGCCCTGGCAACAGGAAGGGCATCTGGCCAGTAAATGTTCAGCTCCATTCAGTTGCCACCCCGCAAGGAATTATAGGATCATTAAAGCTAAGATGATATGTATATTTTGCCTTCATTCGCAAGGTCAAATTCATTGCCTTTTGTACTGTATTTTAAGGACAGGCTCTCTGGAAATAAGACGGCACCTTCTGCTTTGGAAGCGGCAGAAGAAAGTGAGTGAGTCAGATATGCCAATTAACTTAAACATTTTCTACCCCCTTGTCTTTTCTCTCAGCCGGTGAGCATGGTGGAACACGCCGAGTTCCTGAATGCTGGCAAGCAGCCGGGCCTTCAGATCTGGAGGATTGAGAAGTTTGACTTGGTCCCGGTGCCAAGAAACCTCTATGGTGATTTTTTCGTGGGGGATGCTTATGTGATCCTCAACACAATCCGGCAACGCAACGGGAATCTGCAGTACGACCTTCACTTTTGGCTGGGTAAGGAGCACTCTGTGAGGATCGAGGCGATCCTAATTGGCTGTTTTATGTGTTTGGTGTGTTTTTATTTTCATAATCTAAGGGACGTGGTGGCTCAGTGGCTAAGATGCTGAGCTTGTCGATCAGAAAGGTCAACTGTTCGAATCCCTAGCACCGCATAATGGAGTGAGCTCCCGTGACTTATCCCAGCTTCTGCCAACCTAGCAGTTGGAAAGCACGTAAAAAATGCAGGTAGAAAAATAGGCACCACCTTTGGTGGGAAGGGAACAGCGTTCTGTGCGCCTTCGGCATTTAGTCATGCCGGCCATATGACCACAAAGACATCTTTGGACACATGTCATTCTTGGTTTGGGGCCTGACACAACATATGGTGACTGAGTGAATTCTGGGAGTTGAAGACCGCTCACAGTGGCTGATGAAGGCTGGGAGTTTGTCCACACATGGTGGCTGAAGGATTCTGAAGTCCACACACAATATGAGGGAGTTGAAGTCCACACACAATATTATGGAATTTAGTAAGATCTCCAGGAGGGAAATAGTGCATAAGAGGCAGCTCAGCTCAGATATATGTGTGTGAGAGAGTGTGAGGACCTCCCCTTCCTAATAATTCCCAGAGTGTACTATAGGTGCAGATAGTTGAGTCTTCAGTCTGGCAAGATTCTGTCTGTAGGTATGAAACTATATAAATAACTCAACTTGGAAGAATCGTCACCTATTTTTCTTGGTTTTGGGCCAACTAGCTGAGCCCTCCTGCAGGTTTCCAACTCTCTGGCTTCTTTCCTTCTCCGCTTCCCAGGGAACGAGTGCAGCCAAGACGAGAGCGGATCGGCCGCCATTTTCACAGTACAACTGGATGACTACCTTGGGGGAAGGGCCATCCAACACCGGGAAGTGCAAGGACACGAATCGTCCACTTTCCTAGGATACTTCAAATCAGGACTGAAGTACAAAGTAGGTGCCTGCTAGAGGTATTGTTTGACGGTGCTCAGAACCCTGTTAGCAAAGAGCCCTGATCCATGGGGAACCAATAACGCAGTTCCCGTTGGTCTTAGATGGTGTTGTGTCTGCCAGCAGAGCTGGTAGCAAATTCGGACAGTGAGGAGGTTGGGGAGGAAGATGAGCCAGTCCTGGAGCCTGGAGAAGGCGCGGATGAGGGCTCTGTGTCGGAGGCAGAGAGGGAGCCAGATCTGTATGACAGTTATCAGCTGCCTTCAGAGTCAGACATCAGCAAGGCAGAGGAACAGCTGGAGCCTGTTCCCAATGTGTGCATGCGCAGAGTTGCCAGACAAAGGAAACAGGTAAAGAACAGGGGTCGACTTGGGAGTAAGGCCACAGGTGGACAATGAATGGCCCATCCCAGATGAGATAAAAG